TTTGTATTGGAGGACAGAATGGGGATTATCTAGTCCTCACTTGTATTGGATGACTGAATTGGGATTATCTGGTTCTGATTTGTATTGGAGGACTGAATGGGGATTATCTAGTCCTCACTTGTATCGGTAATTAACGTACCGAATTGAGAGGCTTAACGTAGTTCGCCTATCAGTGCCACAAATATTAATCACACTCCACTGGGTACGTTATAGGAGTGACAGTGAGATCCCTCTTTTCGATTAGAGTAGTCCAAGAGTTGACGATGGTTGCTGTTGATTAGCTTCCTTCCCCCTAGTGTACCAATTTAAAATTTGGGAAGGCTATATTTGGACTCTCCACTTCAAATATATAATAATTAATAAAACAACACTGGAAGCCATTCGTATAAGAAGTAATATATCACTTCCCAGGATTCGTAGAAGTAAATTACAAACCTTAAACACTATGAACAAAATTCGCATAGTGAATCTAGTAAATTGATACCGATTTATGTGAAATTATTTTCCAGTTTAAAGTTCTACCAAATATATTTAAATATTTCTAACACACAATTAAAAAAAAAACACAAACAAATCTAATACTATATTAGCGTTTTCGAAAAGTAGACTTCGGATCTGAATCTATCTCTGAAAAGGAATGTTTTTGTTTTGTTTTTTCAAAAGCACTTGGACTTAAATATTTATAATTATATATATATGTGTATATATATTCTATGCCTTTTCTAGATATCATGAATCTATGATAAATTTTCTACATGAAAATGTTGGTCAGTGAAAAAAGATTCTGAGATCGGCTTTTTTTTCATGTGAATAACTTATGTTTGAAATGGTTTGTACCACTATCGAATATAACTTATTATACGATAGGTGGCGCTATTAAAATAAAACGAGTAAAAGTTTGCAGGTGAAATATTTATTTGTTGGAAATGAAAGCTGAAAAAAAGATAAACGATATACGATAGATGGCGCTATTAAAATAGAAAGTTTGTTTGAAATTATGCACAAAACAATTAACCATAGAATGACCGATGGGGATTATTTAGTCCTCATTTGTATTGAAGGACTGAATTATTTGGTCCTGATTTGTATTGGAGGACTATCTGGGCTATCTGTGCTCTTCCCACCACGGGTATCGAAACCCGGTTTCTAGCGTTGTAAGTCCGCAGACATACCGCTGTGCCACTGCGGGGACGCTATTAAAATAAAACGAGTTAAAGTTCGCAGGTGAAATATTTATCTGTTGGAAATGAAAGCTGAAAAAAAAAAACTTTTGTCGTGTCTTAGAACGTGCATTCCTCCTAGTGACTGACATCATCCTAAATTCATCATGCAGTTATCAGGTTAGCAGTTTCCCAGGTAAGGACAGGTTAAGAATGATTATGGAATGTTAACAACCACGCCCTTTTTGAACCACAAAATTTATAACACAATATTTTGTCAGCCAACTTCCATCGTCAGCCAATCACTGACAACTTCCGTAAAGTTTTTTTTTGCCTAAGCAATCAGAATAAAAGGGGAAAATATCCAGGTCATCATGGTCACCAGAGCACGTGCTTTAAAGGTAGACAGTAACCGACGACAAGCTCGAGATACTTTGGAATATCACTGACAGACGTTTCGTTTTACTTTCTATCACTACTTCGTCGCTATAACAAAAGACAATACATATTTGAATGCGTTGCCGATTGCTACCCGTTTGGTAGAGACATCTAACGTTCCGTTTTAAAACTATAATATATTGCTATTCAGTTTTTATTATACCAATTTGTATTTTCCAAACAATGCGTCTATCAACAAAATATAAACATTATCTGTAGTAATTTTTAATAGTAATTGACTTAATTTTCGGCAACCTTTAGGCTTATATATCCTAATGTTATAATTGTAACACGTAACATACTCTTATATCAGACAAAATATCCAACACAATCATACTTTATGTATTTTGTATCTTGTTTTAGAACTTATCAAAATATGTTGTTTTATGGGTTATTTAGTTCAATATCTTGAAGTAGTTTTTCACTGTGCAATTTTTGTTTGTTTGGTTGTTTATTGTTAATTAAGCACAAAGCTACATAATGAGCAATCTGTGCTATGCCCACAGCAGGTACTGAAACCTGATTTTTAGGGTTATAAACCAACACAAGGCCAGTTGTAAAATATATATTTTGTAGCCCTGCTGGTGTAAGCGGTAAGTTTACAACGCTAAAATTCGGGGTTCGATTCTTAGCGGTGGGTTTATAACGCTGAAAACCAGTTTTCGATATCACAGCACAGATAGCCCATTGTGTATATTTGTGCTTAACTACAAACAAACAACGTAAAACAAACAGACAAATAGATATTGCTAATATTTGAAAATATTATATCATTTTACTTCCAAACCTCAATATTTCTAACATTAAATAAAATATATATATATATTTTTTGGGATTTATTGTTTCCTGTCCTCGAACGAGCTCGCCATTTCAGTCGTTGGGCATGACACTATAATGTGACAATCAATCCCACTTTTCTTTGGGAAAAGAATGGTCCAAGAGTTGGCGGTGAGTAGTGTTGACCAGCTGCCTTTCCTCTAGTTTTATCAATTCTAAATTAGGGACGGCTAACGCAGATAGCTCTCGTGTATCTTTGGGCGAAATTCCAAAAACAAACAAAAAATAAAACTTTATGGCATTTTTGAAGATGCGTGTTAATTTACCTGTACCAAGATTGTTGTCGTTTTCAATATCATAACGTACGTAAAAACAGATGTAAAATAACGATTATTCCCGTTCAATATTGTTCATGTGGGTGTCATAGTTTCTCTGGTTTGGTAGGCCCGACATGGCCAGGTAGTTAGGGCACTCGACTCGCAATCTGAGGATCGCGGGTTCGAGCCCCCGTCCCACCAAACATACTAGCCCTTTCATGTTATAATGTGACAATTAATGGTGATGATTAGCTAACTTCCCTCTAGTCTTTCACTGCTAAATTAGGGAGGGCTAGCCTTCGTGTAGCTTTTCGCGAAACTCACAACAAACAAAACTCTGGTTTGGTTGTAACAAAGCTACACAATGAGCTACCTGTGCTCTGCTCACCATGGGTATCGAAACCCGATTTTTAACGTCGTAAGCCTGAGACTTACTTAAATAATACAACAAAGGACAAAAAAAAAGTCTAGAATAGTCAGTCTGAGAAAGATGAACAAATGTAAAGATAAAATAATACATATAAATACTGAGGATAGCGACAGTAAGACAAACTGGGAGAGAGGTTTTAAATATTTCGAAAATATTTCTTCAGATTTACTAAAAACACTTTGTTTTGACTCATAGTATGTCGTCTATTGAAGTAATAAGCAATAAAAATATCGTATATAATACGAATAAATAGTTTTTCTTCTTTTTAAAGTGTCTTTAAAGAACACGTAAAAGTTAAATCTATTCAAGTAAAAGTGTAAACATTAAAAAACTTTAAATTTAAATATATGCATTTTTATGACATTTCATAAAAAATACTAAAGTTTTCATGTGATATTTGAGGTAAAATATTGTAATAAAAACTCGAACACGGAATTTATATTTACATATTATTTTATAGTACTGTAACAGAAGAATTACTTAAAATAACAAAACAGTTATGTTAGGCCTATAAGAAAAAAAGGATTTGACGTAATTCATATCTCATTTCCGGTTGGATATTTAGTTGATCAAATTTATTATTTTATGGTTACTGATTTTCTCTAGAAAAAAAGGATAAGTAAACAGGATATTAAGGAAGTAACATTTTAAAAGATTACAAGGGAAAGAAATAGTGATTCAAAGTAATTTATTACCTTTGAACAGTTAATTTTTTTTAACAAACTTCATCATATACTCTACATATTCATCTTTACCAGTCCGTTACATTTGTAACGAAGCGCGATTTTTTGTACTTTCTTTTAGGCCTAAGATGCTTCACCAGTTTAAGCGTTTAAAGGCGCTATAATAGAACAAACTAATTTTCTACGCTAAATAAAACTTTCTAATATAAACATTTTTAGTTATATATAATTCAATAGAGCTAATATATCTAAAAAACACGTGTTACAAGAACACGCTCCATCAACCGTGATGACAAGCAATAAAAACTAGTTTTATCAACCGTGAAGACAGATCATAAGAACACGCTCCGCCAGGCGTAAAAAAAATGTATTCACTGCTTGAATTAAAACTTATATTAAAAGCTGAAATCAGTTATATCTTGTAAGATGGTCGTATCTCTACATTAACTTATCTAATCTGTCCCAAAATGTTCGCTTTCATGAAATATACAGCAAGTTATGTATTAAAGAAAAAACAAGAGAAACGAATATTTGAAATTTGAATAAAAGTAACACTTGTGTATTTAAGTCAATCCCACCCACTAACAACTGGACATTTTTTACCATTCCCATTCACAAATATTGAAAAAGTTCACATAGAAGATCAACTTTCAAATCTTACTTGACATTTCGAGCTTATTAACATTTGTTTATCAATATGAAATATAATAGAATTTCGAAAAAATAAAATAAATGTGGCAGTGTTAAAATAAATACATTAATGCTTATAGTTATAATGAATGTTCAGTTTATTAGTGAAAAACATAATTAAAATATAATAGAATATGAAGAATGAGGAGAACTATATTTTATATGTTTAATACCAAAATCGGACTTTCGTTCCAAAAACAGAAATGCTTCAAACAATTAACAAGGTATATAAAAAATATCAAATTTTAAAAGAAAGAAAACAAAACCGTTAAAGCCGAATTTATACTTAGATTGCTACGCTTTGTCTGCTTATATTTGTAATTCAAAATACAGTCAATTTTTATAAACTGGTGATTTTTCAGACATTTAAAAAAGTCTTATTTGCCTAACACGAGCAAAGTGTCCATTAGCTTCCATTTACGTCAGTCCTCGAGAGCATTATCCTTGTTGGTCAGTGACACAAAATTCAGTAAACAAATGATCCAAAAACACCTTTATCAAGTTCTTAAAAGAAATCCGACTGAGGAGAAAAGTCTTTAACGTAAATGTAGCCCATGGAATAAAGAAGGTTTTTGTTTATTGGTGGGTATACAGGAGGTTCGTGACGTCGACTGTTGGCCTCTGGTTGAAGTATTTCACGTGAAGCTGACTTGCTTGGCTCAGGAGAGAAATTGTCGTTGACTCCCTTGACATTACCGCCACCTAGTGTAGCTTGTTGTAGATTAATGTCTGCTGTTCCATCCTGAGTATATTGAGAGTAAGCAAAATTGCCTTTCTGCTAAAAAAGGAGGAACATAAATCAGGATTTCGATGATTAGCATCAAATTTACCAATAATAAGAGGTATTATTATATTCTGTGGGTGTTGATTAACGAACCATAAAATGTAGATGATAGTTGAATATATTAAGCAACACGTTGTTGTTAGATCCAACTGTTTTATATATACGAGTATTTATTTAATTACCAAACGTTGATTATGTATTGTTCGAATAAAGAAACGTAATTTCTTAGGACTAATTTACTAATTGTAGGTTATCTGGGAATAGTATTATGAATTTTACTTTTTGTAGTATATTATGTTGTTATATTAATATTATTTTCACAATAATGTTCACTTTTTTAAATGATACTTTTGGAATTAAAACTCGACTTAATCAATTAAAATTTTCTTGTTCACGCTGTAAGGAATCCGCTGGTCTTGAAGATAGATTAGGAATTCAGAAATTGAAGATCAAAACTAAGTTATACTTATATTTAAATTGAGATATTTTTTATCCATACATTTTCTAATAGAAATTAAACATTCAATTAACAATCACTTTATATTTTGTATAATAGAATATTAATTATTTCCCCGAAAGGGGGCCTTCGGCTTCCTGAAAGAGTCACCAGTTTTAATCACTCGCACCATTTTACAGTAGTGTATTCTCTGTCAGTATGTGACCGTAACTAAAGAACAAACATAATACTTTATATTATTATTATTTTTTACACATTTGTTTGAGAGACCTGTCATTTTTATACATCACATTTAAAACAGACACGGTTTAACTTATGTGTCATACTTCCTTGCGTTAGTCCCACTACGCCCCCTTCACGGTACAAGCTATGAAATTATAGTAAGAGGGGGCGGGGGAAAGAGAGAGAAGAATAAATATCTTAGATATAAACCTATAATAATTCTAAAATCACATTTTCATTTGATTATTTTTAAGAAACAGTAATTTTTCTTTTTAAAATTATTTTGATAGCTGCTTGAGAAGGGAACTCATCTAGCTACGCCCTTGACTTACGTTACACGTACATAGTTACAGTTTTAAATCAGTTCATTCCTTTTTTCGCGGGAGGGGGTTTCAGACACCTTTATCAGGTGGGCCAGCATCACATCGTCTCACCCCAAATAAATTTTTTGATAAGTTTGCCATTTGGTATCTAGCGATAAAAGACTCGAAAATATGTGGTAAATATAATGCAGTAAAAATTATTTGATTTTGGAATTTCGCGCAAAACTACTCGAGGGCTATCTTCATTAGCCGTCCCTAATTTAGAAGTGATAGACTAGAGGGAAGGAAGACTACACCACCCACCGCCAATTCTTGGGTTACTTCTTCACCAACGAAAAGTCGAATTGATCGTCACCCTATAACGCCCCCCACGGCTGAAAGGGCGGGCATGTTCGGTAACGGGATTACGTCATAAAGAAAAACAAGAGGGAATTCTCAATAACCGCGGCGCTTGAAATTCTCTTAGGCAGGATTAGAGTAAATTAATCTATGAGACCTTTCTTTTTTTTTCCCTTTCCATTAGGTATATTTTTGTGCACCAGTAATACCAAACGTGGGACGCGCGTATAACCGATTTGATTTTTATTGCTCATCAGGATCTCTACTAGCCCACCCTCAAATTGAAATTATTTTAGGCAGGATTGGGGTAAATTAATGTACGAAACCTTGGGCTTAGTCAAATACATCAACCGAAAGTGTTTGACCTCCTGAGTCCAAAAATGCAATTAGATCTCAAATCGGTCAAGAGATGACGGAGAGCTATGATCTAAACGTTTGTACCTGAAAAAAAAAACCCAAAAAACTCACAGCCATTCTATGAGCCGTTATGCCGCGGCTAAAAAAAAAGTCATTTATTTAAGTTGTTCTTTAAACTGCTTATTTTCACCTGAATTTCGCTTATGTCCCATTCATTCCATCATATCAGGGCCTCTCTTCACCCAAACTGTTTGTGACATTAATTGAAAATATTTTCTCCTTCGGCAAGTTACATTCATTGCTAACATATCATCTAATAGTACATTTAGCTTTAAATCCAACACAATTTAATTCCAAAACGAAACGAAAAACAATGGCAACAATTAGTCTGGTTAGAACTATTTCGTTTGACGTTAAAATTCAGAAACGTCTAACAATAATTAATTTTTTTAAAAAGAAAATCCCAATCATTTAAGAGAAACTTAAGATAAAGATGAAAAAAAAAAGTTATTGTCTTTGACTCTCGGAGATAAAACTTGCAAAAAAAAAGTTTCTTACTAAAAGTAAAAATTACTTATTCTCAGTTTACTAAAGTAGATTCAATGAGCAAATGTTACACACTAAAACTTTAAATACTTACGTCCTGGAAGACGTGTGAAATCCCCATTCCCCGGGAATGTGCAAGGTGAGACGAAGATATTATCAATAGAAGAATAAGGAGTTTTCCCTTAAAAAAACAAAAAAATATATATATACACATAATATTATTAATAAAGCTGGAGGTATGGTTGTCAAGTTTATAATTAATACATTTAATATACATTCTAGATTTAAAAAAAAGGTTTCGTGTTGATAAAGACGCCGTATTCAGGAGAAAACAACACCAACAATTTACTTCGTGATCTAGTAATTTCCAAACATTTTTAAATTTTGAATTCAACGACCACATCACAGTATAGACGTCCGTTTTCATTCACCAAAATCTATTATCGTTGTAGAACTCGAATTTTCTCCTTGACAAACACTTTTAGTCAGATTTAAGTCTTAAGATTCCAAATTTCATAATTAGTTTGAAATAAATGTAACAGGATTTACCTTGAAAAACATGCTAGCTAACTAAAGACGTTCTTATAATTACTACAGAACAACGAGACACCAATCACCGGATTTTGGTCTTTATATAAACTTTCGTTCCTGTGGTCCGACTGGCACTACGAATTCAAGCATGGCCACATTACGAATTGGATTAATCCGCCAGTGACGTAAGACGGCTCCACGGTGTTTTCTAGTAAGACAACTCTTCTTCTGCTCTATGACGAATGTGTCAAGGTCGTCCAAAGCACTTTGGTTTGACATTGAGCAACCGGGAGATGTAGTCAACTTGACCCAAATTTGATTTTCAGATAAAGGAGTTAAATAAAAGGGGTTTCAGATCTTCATCGATGTCAGTTTCTAAAGAATTAACCAAGGACAGATTTAACAAGTTTTTGTGTCTTTGTGGGGGCTGGGGTGGGGGTGGGGGGTACTAGGTAGCTCAAGGTGAAAAAGTACAAAGCATATTTAGTCTCTATACAATCTAGGTCATCAGCACTGTTACGATGTTAGCAGTGTTTATAATTCTAGTTCCCACATAGTATCAATCCGCCTGAACTGACCAGAAGTAAACAGTATTTTTTTTTCTTAAATGAAAAGCTCTACCAATCAACCGAAAACTCTCGAAAAAAAATATAATAAATACTAATACCAGTTACCAACCATTAAACGTCATCACCATGCGGGAAAAATCAGTTCATTAAAAAAAAAGGCACATTTATAAAAGCAATCCTGCTCTCTACTATAACGAATTTATTTTTACGATAACAACGCTCGTATTTGTTCAACTTGATTTACCCGACATGAAATGAAAGTAGAGTGTTAAATAATTATAATGTTATAGATTTCCACAGTTTTTTAATTAAAGTAATGTTCTGTGTATGTTCCAATTTGTTAAAGGATAACATTGAATAACTAGTTATACCAGTCTTATTGGGAACAATGAAACCAAATATAATATGACATCGGAAGTTTACATCATAGACATAAAGAGGACGATATCTCGAGTAAAAATATTTAAACTTTTAGTTTGTTTGTTTTTAAGTATGCACA